TAAATAAATAAATTTTTGCTTTATTAAATAATGACTTTTGTTAAATTGCACTGTACGTTTTTAAAGATATAAGCTCATCCCGATGTTACACTCATCGAGAGCTTTCATTTGAGTACCCACATGTATTTTTGATATATTTTTATATATTTTTCATATATACATATATATAATATATATAAATATATGAAAAATTGATGTGGGTACTCAAATGAAAGGTCTTGATGAGTATATCATCAGGATGAGCTTATATCTTTAAAAATGTCAATAGTTCACGAGATACAAGGTCATTTCTTAATTATGTATCTAGAGATGAAGCATTTTCGAATACAGCTTCAATACTTATAAATTGAAATATAAAAATATTTTTAAAATGCGAAATAATAATAACAATACTTTTAAAAATTTCGACTCATAATTTTTAAAAATTTTTACATAGAATTTTTTAATTACTTTAAAATTATAAAAAAAATTTCTAATGCCTGTTAACTGTAGCTATTTTTAATATTGTTTATTTTTCAGTCAGTTTAAAAAATTTTATCTCTAAAATGTAATTTATTTCAATCCAATTTAACACAAAACTCCAAAAATTTTTTATCTAATTTTATTAAACTAAACAATTTTAACAAACCTGTTAGTAAAAAATAAAAATGATTATAATTATAAGTTAAATATTGATAATTAACATACCTGATGATAAAGCATATATTGTTGAAATTGAAGCCCCAGTAGAACTGTCTCGACAAACAAAACTAAAGATCCCGCCACCACCAGTATCGTTCAGACGCTTCAGGACAACAGATCTCCAACATTTAGTGACAACTCTCATCAGCATTATTTACATCAATCAATTTATCGCCGGATCTTTAAAAGACAATCCTATTTATGTTCCTATAATTAACAACAATAATAACTCATTTTAATTCAACAATTGTCTTACAATAATAAAAAAAAAACACACGTGTCTTCTCTTAAATTATTACGACGTAAAATCATAATGGCGATTGATGTGTACAAATAAAAAACAACTACCAGTATCATTTACTATTAATAAAAAATCATCACTGTAAGTAATTAATCTAAATTGAGATTTTATTAATCACAATTTATTTACTTGTTAATATTTTTACAAGGACAATAATTATAATTAAAATTGCAGAGGTTAAAAATATTTTGACTAGCGTCATAAACGTCACAAATGGCGGGAATTGTTTAAGTGTTAAAAAATAAATATTCTAATCTATATTATTAAGAAAATAAGAAATTACCCTGAATCTCGTGAACTATTGACATTTTTAAATATATAAGCTCATTCCGATGTTATACTCATCAAGACCTTTCAATTGAGTACCCACATCAATTTTTCATATATTTTATATATTATAAATATATAATATATATATATATATGAAAAATATATTAAAAATGCATGTGGGTACTCAAATGAAAGGATTTGATGAGTGTAACATTAGGATGAGCTTATATCTTTAAAAATATCAATACTTAAGAAATGACATTGTATTTTGCCAACTATTGACATTTTTGAAGAAATAAGCTCATTCCGATGTTACACTCATCGAGACCTTTCATTTGAGTACCCACAT